GATAAAGTGGTTTAAATGGAACAAATTGAAAGGAAGTAGAATTACATTGTTTAAAGGATGTCTTTTCAATGTTGTTTGATGATGTCGACAATCATAGTTATTATGCTCCAGTTCATTAATGTGCTTGCAGATTTAATTGCAGCATGAATTCTGCTGAATAGAAAACATTCAAATTCCAAATTGTTACTCTCAAACTAACAAAAATTAAAAGCTTGATTTAAGGAATGAGAAAAACAATTTGATTGAAATTCAGTTTGTGATTCTAAATCTTTTCTACTCCATTGTTACTCCCACAAGGCAGAGGAGTTACCTACCCACAAGGGTCAGTCAATGCAGCTTTTAAACCAGTTGTTACACACCAATGTAGACTGCCATACTGTTTCATTTTCCTTTTTATTTGTGAACAACGTGGCTGTATTGGAGCTGATTTGAAATCACATGACAAGTTAGGATAAACGAAGATTATCCTCATCCATCCAAAAAGGTCCCATATTTCTCCTGTTACAATTTTAATTCAAAATGTAATAGTGACTGACTTCAACAATGTACCATGCAGATTAGTCAATTTCTTCTTGTGCCTGATAGCCATAGGGATCATTGGATGCTGCCAAACAGAAAGTAAATATGGACTTATTTTACTTATTCAATTCACCAGATTAAATAATCCAGATGCCATTCAACCCATTACCACTGCCACCTTGAACCCATACTCTGCACCTCTCCCCCACACACCCAGTCCCTCCTGTATCCCACTCCTTCTCATAACCCTTGGCCAGAGAGCTAAACACACCAGACGTGTTTGTTTCTAGCACCAGTCTGCTGCCTCTGGGTCCCTGGCTTACATTCACTGCTCACCAGTAATACGAAAATGATGCGGGTGAAAATAATTGCCGTGATCATGCCACCACCTTCAATGTTTATGATCAAATTTCTAGATTTGTGGCTAGAAGTTTCAACCCCAGTGAGGGTACATGATGGCCAATATTGATTGGTTTTCTTGGGCAAGGCCTGCTTGACCAGGACCAGCCATTCGTTACTCAAGCTATTCAATGAATGGATAAGAAAGATACAAACAATCAAGTATTTAAGGTATAACTTGATCACAACTCTTTTTTGTATTCCACTGTTTTGGCTCTGTTGAGAATTAAATTTTACTGGTTGTATATGTTGAGTACCGGTGTCTGGGGCACATGGTAATGGCTGCCCGGCCCCAGGGTACTGCGACCTACCAGACCCAGTCAGTGAGTTGTCCTTCAATTGGAACTTCAACGGTGGCTACCCATAGTGGTGGCCTTCTTATTGGGTCAGCAGTTCTTTGGGACATGCCTCTATCCTTACTGGATGGTGGCCCCGGTGACTATTGGTAAGATGCCAAGTCTTGTCACTGTCTGAAGCAGGATTGATTCCCACATTCAACCTCAACGGCAGGATTTCACCATTGGCAACAACGTTCAGTCCCAGGACATTGATGTGAATTTGAAACAATAATGGTACCAATCCCTTGGGAGTAGCCAAATCAATACTTCAGTCTTCTCCAATGTAACTCTTCAAAATAAATCTTTTATTCATTCTAAAGATTTACCCTAAATTCTCTGTTTAAAATGTTGTGTTAAACATTGCTAAATACCTTTTGTAAATCTAACTGTAATACTTTCCTCATGATTTATTCAGTTTATTTGTTTAGATTGATTATAATTGTCATTGGTGCAATACAATAATTGAAATTCAACAACCATTCTGGAAATACAACGTGAATTAATGGCTTACCAACAATCAAACTGACATTTTAAACAAATCAATTTCAAACAAATCAATTTTCAAACTTTTTTCATTCATAGGATGGAAGATGTGACTGACAAAACTAGCCTTTATCACATCTACTCAGAAGGTCTGATTGGCTTACAGTTAGCTTGGGACTGAAGCATTCACCAGGTCAGCTAAAGAAGACAGGTTTCCTTCTACCTTCTTATTTCAAATTATTTTTTAAAGCTGGGTTCAAATTCCCAAACTTCAATTATGGGATTTTCACTCACATTTTCTCGACTACTGATCAGTGATTCTATAATTCTTTAGGAACTGCACTGTTTAAGTTCCCACATACTGTAATCAACTAGAACTCATTGAATTGCAGAGAATATCCCCTAGTACTCTTTAATATTACTGTTAAAGGCCCTCTTGTTAATGGAGGTGATTCTGGATTTTTAAGCTGAACAACTTTACTGTGTCTGGGAAATTTTACCTTCTTATTTCATATTTTAGATTCAAAATTTGTCAGGTTTTAGTATTAAAATTGTTCAGGATACTTCAGTTTTAATGTCATTTATTTCAGTCTCTGTAAAATGTAATAAAAATAGTAGGATAATCAGTGTATTTTCCTTCTAGCTTCCTGTCTTGAGAATTCTTCCATGAGGATGACTTCTTGAGGCGCTTGGTGTTATCTTTGGCATTACTGGACTCTTGGGAGATCGCTTTCACTTGGTGCCAGATTCAAACTGACATCAGGAATGGGGAAATCATTTGATTTTCATTAGGATCCTTTCTTCAAGGTTAGGTGCAAGGGCTGTTACAAAGTCATAGAGTCATACAGCTGTGAAAGAGATCCTTCGGTCCAACTCATCCGTGCCGACCAAGTTTCCCAAACTAAATTATTCCCGTTTGCCTGTAAATATCCCTTTAAACCTTTCCTAGTCATGTACCTGTCCAAATGTCATTTCAATGTTGTAGCTGTACTTGTATCTATCACTTCCTCTGGCATTTCATTCAATGTACGAACCACCTGCTGTGTGAAAATGTTGCTGCTTAGGTCAGTTTTAAATCTTTCTCCCCTCACCTTAAAATTATGCCCTCTAGTTTTGAACTCCCCTATCCTAGGAAGAAAGACCTTTGCTATTCACCTTATCTATGCCCCTCATGATTTTATAAACCTCTATAAGGTCAACCTTCAACCTCCTACACCCCAGTAGAAAAAAAAGTCTATCCAGCTTATCCTTATAACTCAAATCCTCCAGTCCCAGTAACATCTTTGTAAATCTTTTCTGCACCCTCTCCAATTTAATAATATCCTTCCTACAGCAAGGCGACCAGAATTGCACACAGTACTCCAAAAGTGGCCTCACCAATGTCCTTTTCAACCGCAACATGACATCCCAGCTCCAATACTTAATGGTCTGACTAATGAAGGCAAGCGTGACAAATACCTTATTTACCACCCTGTCTACCTGTGACGCAACTTTCAAATAACTATGCACCTGAATCCCTAGGCCTCTCTGTTCAACAACACTCCCCAGGATCCTACCATTAACTGTGTAAGGCCTGCCATTGTTCGTCTTACCAAAATTCAACACCTCACAATATATCCAAATTAAACTCCACCCGCCACTCCTTGGTCCATTGGCCCAATTGATCAAGATCCCGTTGTAATCTTAAATAATCTTCTTCACTGTCCACTGTATCACCAATTTTGGTGTCATCCACAAACTTATTAACCATACTTCCTAAATTCTCATTCAAATTGTTCATGTAAATGACACACAATAGTGGTCACAGGCCTCCAGTCTGAAAAACAACCCTCCACTATCACTCTCTGTCTCCGATCATCAAGCCAATGCTTCAACATTAACTACAAAATCCAAGCCATTAGTTCTTTTACAAGTATGATTCTTCTTTAAATTTTCTAGTTGCCCATGAGAAGGTGGTGAGCTGCCTTTTTGAACTTCTGCAGTCCACAAGCTGTAGATCGACACGCAACGTAGTCATTCTTACTGTTACTGTCATGGATGGGTGCTTCTGCAGCAGGCAGATCGGTGAGGATGAGGTCAAGTATGGTTTTCCCTTTTTTTGGTTCCCTCACCACCTGCCACAGACCCAGTCTAGCAGTTATGTCCTTTAGGACCTGACCAGCTCGATCAGTAGTACTGCTGCCGAACCACTCTTGGTAGTGGAGATTGAAATCCCCCACCCAGAGTACATTTTGTACCCTTGCCATCCTCAGTGCTTCCTCCAAGTGTTGTTCAACAAGGAGTATGGATGCATTGGCCAAGGGAGGGCAGTATGTGGTAATCAGAAGGAGGTTTCCTTGCCCATGTTTAACTTCATGCCAAGAAACTTCATAGGGCCCAGAGTCAACATTGAGGACTCCCAGGCCAACACCCTCCTGACTGTATACCATTGTGCTGCCACCTCTGCTGGGTCTGTACAGGACATACCCAGGGACGGTGCTGGTGGTGTCTGGGACAATGTACAGTATAATTCTGTGAGTATGACTGTGTCATACTGTTGCTTGACTAGTCTGTGAGACAGCTCTCCTAATTTCGGTATTAGTCCCCAGATATTAGTAAGAAGGACTTTGCAGGGTTGACAGGGCTGTTTCGGCCTTTGTCTTTTCCAGTGTGTAGACCTGGCCGGTTTCATTTCTTTTGTTGACACTTTGTCACGATTGATACAACTGAGTGGCTAGCTAGGCCACTTCAGAGGGCAGTTGAGAGTCAACCACATTGCAGTAGGTCTGGAGTCACATGTAGGCCAGACTAGGTGAGAGTGGCAGATTTCCTTCCCTGAAGGACATCAATGAGCCAGATGGGTTTTTTGATAATGGGTAATGGTTTCATGGTCACCAGTGGATTCTAAATTTCAGATGTTTTAATTCCCATGTATTCTGAAGTCACCAGAATATTAGCTGAGTTTTTGAATTAATATTCTAGCAATAATACCAGTCGGCTATAGCTTCTCCTTATGATACATTTACAAATGTATCTAACATATCTACAGTTCCACCAAAGATCACTTTCCTTAATTCCACCCAGGTTGGTCATGATGAGGAAAATCACTTGAAATAACAATGTTGGAGGTAGTATTTTTAAAAAATGCTAATGTTGGGACTGATTTTACCATTCTAACTGATCACAGAGAATCTGCAGGCTCTTGTAAACAGTTTTATGCAAGGAGGAGGAAATAAATGATTAATCCAAAGCATGAAAATGGGAAGAAAGAAACAACAAGTGTCAAGTGTCTGGCATTTATTTTCTCCTGAAACTGAAATGTGCACATGACAAATATAGTTATGTTAGCTAGACAACATTAATAGCATGTTTCCAAATACAATTAATATAGATGTCAGTTAGATAGATAAGAAAAGACAGTTTCTTGCAGAAATCATGTAAGATTTAACGCATAAACAAGCAACACAGATTTCAGGCACTTAATAGGAGATCAGAATCATTCTGTGCTAGATTGTGCTTATTCTTAAGGTTAGTCACTTCTATTTTGAGAGCCAAAATGACCAGAATGCCCGTAAGTGGAGATCTATCAGCTATTTCTCCCCCCCGTCAACTCCATAATGACCAAGATCTATCACACGTTTTTACACTTACACTTTATAGTGGGTCCCATTTAGCAGAGTTTCCTATTATTTTTCTCAGCAATTTCTGTTCACAAATTTATCTTCTGAAGGAGCTGAAATCTCATTAGGATCCATGTGCTGAGTGTTATGTGGTACCTTGGTAAAGTTTTAACTTCCTGTGTGTTAACTGTGACAATGAGTTTTAACAGGTTAATGTTGCTTCAGATATGTCACAGAATCCAGAACAAGGGAATCGTCTGAAAATTAAAGTGAGGCCATTTAGGACTGAAATCTAGTTGCAATTTTTCATGTAAAGAATAGTTACAATTTGGAACTCTTTTCCCAAACACTTAGATAAATCAATTGAAATTCGATAGACCGGGATCAATAGCTATTTGTAAGGGTATCAAATGATTTAGAGGAAATATTAGTAAATGGAATGGAGTTACAAATCAGCCACGGTCAATTGTAATGTCGAATCAGGCCGAAGGGACTGAGTGACCTATATATTATTTCTACATCCCTATATTCAGGTAGGGACACTTTGCCAGACATATCTGTAAAGAGTGGACCGTACTTCCACTTGACATTGTTGCGTAAGTAAAACTCGGACCATCATATACAATCCTGGCTTCACTGCCATCAACTTATTTCATCTTAACCTATATTGGCAGGTGATACTAGAGAACTGAAATTGCCTGCTTGTAAAAAAGACTGACAGGCACAGGAACAAGGGATTCTAACACTGAAAGTACCAAGCTTGGACCGACTGAGAGATTCACATTTTCACAGTGTATGGCAGACTGTTAACATGTTCATGACATTTTTATGACTAATCAGATAGGTTCTGAATCCCTTTTGATAGATACTTCACATTCCCTTCCAATTCTGCCTAAATAGTGAACCAAAGTTTATTATAGGTTAGAGAATTGGTAGTTTTCTCGGTTATCAGAGCTTTACCCTTGCATGAAATGTGGTGATCCTCACCAGTTGCCTCAGTTAACCAGTTAAACCACCACGAGCTGCCTCTCTCTAATAAGAGAGCAGCCCAGTCTGGGCACATCCTCTGGCATAGTGGAGACTTTAGCCATAACTTTGTATTAATTAATACAGGTGGTGATACTGAGACCAATTGGAGATCTTTCTGTTGTGACTATCAACAGTTACCAGAAGGAGAACAGCAATCAGGCCCATGCTTAATCACTAACTGCGTAACGGTGAGGAATTGGGACCTAACACCTTTTTTAGCTACAGTCCCTGACCCCAACAATTCAACTTGTTATAGACATTCAGCAGCTGAAGCTGCAGATTTATTCTTACTTTTCTCTGCTGTTTGGTTTTATTATCCAATTGGAAATAAATATTTCCAATGACTAGTTTACCTAGACTTCACCTTCTCATCGCTATTTCTTTCTCTTTCATCTATATTCCCGTCCCCATGTGATCCTCATCAGGAGGCACCAGTCTCCTGCCCATGGTCTGTTCAGCTACAATTGAAAACAGGCACCACATTGAGTTCTGTATCCTATCCTAATTAACAAAATGATCAGAAGATACAGACAATCAGACATACCTTCAACAAGTAGAGGACAACGGCCCTAAAGCTCCTTAGCTCTGTCATTCTAAGATGTTTCTTTTGTCCTACTGCCAGCTTAGATCTAACAATAATATGATCTACATTCATTCTGTGAGATACATGCTGTGTTTGGGACATACACCTATGAGTAGTCAGATTGAGGGTAAATTTAGCAGTTACATAGACAGCCACTTGAACAGTTTTCCTTGTTTATATTTAACTTATTTTTCTAATCAACTTGTTCAGAGATATTATTACATACCTCCGGAGCAGGTGAGACTTGAACCCGGACCTCTTGGTCCAGGGGTAGGGACACTACCACTGCACCACAAGAGGGCTGTTTTACTTGAATAGTTTTCAAATTAATTGTTTATTATTATTTTCTAGCCTGTGCCACAATCTCAAAACATATGGGATGATGATTAATCAAAGTCTGTAAAAAAACATTCTTTCACCTTATTCTACCATGACCTGATTGTAGGTTTTAAATGACTGTCAGTGATATGGACAGCTCTTCACTATCATTTGTGCATCATTACTTTTCTAGACACAGGAATGCCACCTGAAGCTGAAAACGTCCTCAATTGCTTTATACCAGACTCATGATTTTCCTCCTTAGCAATATCTCCTACTAACTAACACCATTGCAGAAATGCTAAAAGAAGTTTTCATACATTTTTCACATACACCATGGATATCTGTCCATCTTGTAGCAGCTGAGCTCCACTACCTTCAGTTTCACTGCAGTTAAATGCTGCAAGTGGATCCAGTGAATGAAATATACACATAAAAAACTTTGTTTCAAAACCTTTTCTTCAGTAGAACATTTTACAGTACAGTACTAATGTCATCTGATTCCTCTGGCTTCCTTTGCTTGCTAGGGAGTGATTTTAAATATTCAAGATGCCTTCTTGCATCTTCTTGGTTCTGACGTACATAATATACCACGTATGAGATCACCATGGTGAACCAGCCAAACATAGTGACCAGCATGGCCACATCGGTTGTTTTTTTTGACAGATTACAGAGGTCTGCTTCATTTGCAGCACTGATCAAAGATTTCCCAGTATGTTCCTTCAAAGCTGCAGTCTCACAGATAATATTGCTGGCCACTTCATGGTTCGAGGGCATGCCATGCAGTGCCTGCTGGAGGCTGCAGTCACAGTGCCATGGGTTGTCGGAAAACTGGGCCCTGCCTTTGAGTTTGCTGAATGTGTCTTTATGTACACTTTTAATCTTGTTGTTTGAAAGATCAAGAGTCTGCAAGGTATCAGCCACACCTTTGAATGCTTGTTCTTCTATGGACTCAATAACATTTTTGGACAAATTAAGCACTTTGAGTTGGTGCAAGTCTTTAAAGATCTCATTGGGAACGGACCTTATTTGATTTGAGTCTAAGTAAAGTAAAGCAGTTTCTGGAGGAAGGTCTTTAGGAATCTCTTTAAGATTCGCATTGCTGCAGCTTACATTTAAGCTACTGACATGAGAACACATACAGCCTTTGGGACACATGCTGGCTGAGTGAAAGCACAGTACCAGAAACACTACACTCTGCAGCAGAAAACACATAGAGAGTGAGCGAGCAAGGAATAGGTCCATCAGCTTCATGCTGGGACGTCTGCATAATCACACGGCCTAGTCCTTCATCCAACAGCGTACATACAGCATATGGCAATAATTCTTTTCCTCTTCGGTAAGCAACTTAAACAAAGTGGTGAAGTTGTGCATGTTGTCCACATTTATATGTTGGTAATGATGTTCAAAAGTATTATACCTGAAAGAGAAATATACACATTTTATGCACAAATGCCTTGAATAGAAATATAATGGACCAAACACTTGAATCCTTAGGACTGTAACTTTGAATAAATTCAATCACAACCAGTGTCATTGCTCCAATCTTCTGCTGAGACATGCTGTGTCATTGAGAAAACTACATAATAATGAGATGCCGAGAAAACATAATTGCTTCTCTTATATTCAGTGCATTCCACATAATTATTTTGATTGTAATTTTAAGATGAATTATTTTCCATCGAGATGTAAATTAGAAAGACTACATATCTGCACGTAAAAAATGTGACAACTTAATTTTCATAAAGTTTTGCTTCATCAGAAATCTTATTGGTTCTGCTTTCTATTTTAAAGTTCCATCTTTTATTTTTCCCAAATACTACATTTTAATCTTTCTGTTCTTGATTTAAATCTTCTTTATTGATTTTATGTTTACAAGGTTTTTATCGTAAGTACAAGGTCTATTTCAATTTTGGATTAGGAGGATTGTATTTCAATCCCGTTTATCTTTAGTAGTGACCCACTGTAAGAAAAAAAACTACTGCAAAACAGATACAATGAAAAGATATAATTAAAACTCAGAGCAATGGTAAATAAATAAATCTCAAACAATAAAGATAAATTTTATAAATTTCACTACCAACTAACCACAAAGGGTTCCAAAACTATTCCAGAATGAGCAATGCTGTTTTCAAAGGTTGAACCCTTTGCACTTCCAACACACTGCTTTCAAAATTCGAACTTACAAATATTTCCGTGGCCTAACTTTATTTATCCCCAACAACCTCTTGGAGTTCCCTCTCCCAGCTGCACAGTCAGCTCCTCTGTCATGTGTTCACTTCTCATCTCACCCTCCCTCCTCTTTACATTCATGGCATATCCTGCAGGCAGCATGTCTCTGCTATCTGGGATAACACAGTGTGGGGCTGGATGAACACAACAGGCCAGGCAGCATCAGAGCAGCAAGAAAGTTGACGTTTCTGGTCAGGACCATTCTTTTTCTGCTCTCTGGGATTTTCTTTCTAAACTCGCCTGCCGTTCTTCATGTGCTGCCAACTTTGAAAGCTGCCTCAAACCCTACCCTTCAGCCACATCTCTGATTGCCTCCCCTTGATCTTCTAAATCTTACCTGGTGCTGATTTCCTCCAGTGAAGCATGTTGAGAAATTTAGCTGTATTAAAAGGCGTGACACAATGCACTTTGTATTATGAGAAAGGATTTCCAGTCCCCCTAACTCCTAGAAAAGATCTCTCTTTTGAGAAGTACTCTGAAGCAAATGGAATTGAACTAGACTAGCCTGAGTGAAACAGAACCAGTCATCCAAAATTAAATGCAATCAAATCAGAAGTTACACTATGTGCAGCGACCACTCACTTCTGAGGGATGATCTACTCTGGTAAATTAATTCTATCTCCATGATTAAGTTGGAGAAATGAGAAAGCAGAGGGGAAAGGGGAAGCCAACAGAGAAAAGAGGATAATAAAAGAAATACCAAAAAGACCATACCTTAACCACCACCATCTACTCTGCGCCACCACCCTGTACATTGCATTCAAAACCCTTGACTTATATGTGACATACTAAAAAAGAGTTGTTATCAAATAAAGACAGACTTATGTTGCCAACATGGGTAAAAATACCAAGCACTCTGGACAAAGCTGGTGAGCCTGAGGCACATTTAATATAATAACGCAGCATTAACACAGATGCTGCTAAGTTCAAGATGGATTGAGAGCTGAATATTTCTGGCTACAAAATATCCTGGAGAACAGAATAAGAAAGGAAGTTGATGGATCGTGGAGAAGGAATGGTAGTATTTATCAAATTCTTTACAACAGCTTTGAAACATAAACATGATAAAAGGCAACATGAAACATTGAAATATACGCTCAAAGCTAAGGAACAATCTGTAGATTGATGAAGAGTGAAAGGAGACAGACAGAGGAAGATAAATGTAAAATACAAAGGACTGCATGAAAATAAAATGGAACAAAATGGCTGAGTTCAATTATCAAAAACAAACTAGAGTAAAAACAATGTACTTTCGAAGGAAAAGGGACAATTTTGCATTTTGTCCAAAGTCACAATTCTGTCTGCACTGATTCTTTGCTGGGCCAATCAAAAGCCATATCAACTACTTTGTTCTCTCTCCAGAGGCCCACATCTTCTCCAACTTCAAATTCTCTTGGTCTCTGTTCTCAACACTCATCTTGCAAAGAATGTAATGCCACAATCAGGAGTAAAACTGAACTTTCTGGACAATAATAATCCAGTAAATAGCAGTCAATATAATAATAATTCCACTATTCTGTCAAACACACACTTTTCCGCACTTCAAAAAATTAACTTTTTTCTTAGAATACACAATAGTTTCAACTTCTTAGCACAAACTTCATGCTGCACCTACTCTCCGTATAAAGGAATTATGTTCATTTCTAATTTTAAATTTTAATGATTATTTTATGAGTATAACCCAAGCACTTATTTCTCACCAGAGGAGCTCTGCTTGAGACAGAAATGTTGGCATGGGAACATGGTGGTGTGTTGAAGTGGCAGGCAACTGGAAGTTCAGAGTCATTTTTACAGACAGAATGTGGATGTTCTGCAAAGCTATAGAATAGAATAGAATATCCTTTATTGTCACTTGTACTCCAGTAGAGAAGTACAGGAGTACAGTGAAAAGTTTTTACAATGGCCCATCTTAGGTACATGTACCTAGGTACAAATCTTACAGAATAATGTTGCTATACAAGAGGATTAAAAGGTAAGAATTTACATGACAGTCCGGTAAGCGTATCAAACAGCAGCAGCTCAGCACGTGGTGCCAGGCCCAAATCCAACAACTGTCCCGCATCACACCAGCCTCCAGTCCGCTCCTCACCGGCACTCAGCAGCAACAAGGTAAGTCACGCTGTACCCAGATTCGCCTCCCTCACGCACTCTGGGACTTGGGATTCTCCACACGGCATTACCAGGGCTCGCAGCCCACACTGTACCGGCTCGTTCCCCACACACTGTACCGGCTCGTTCCCCACACACTGTACCGGCTCGTACCTCACACTCGTCCAAGGCTCGCAGTCCACTCCACGTTCCGGGGCCCACAGCTCCCAGTCCACATTTTGTTGCCCCAATGGAGAGGAGACCACATTGTTGGCAGTGAATACAGTCAACTAGGTTGAGTTAAGTGCAGCTAAATTTCTGAGGATAGGCTGGCCACTGATATCCACTTCAAACCCACCAACTCCCACAGTTACCTGGACTACACATTCTCACACCCTGCTTCCTGATGGGACTCTATCCCAATCTCCCAGTTTCTCTGTCTCTGTCATATCTGTTCTAACTATGACACCTTCCATACAGGAGCCTCAGAAATGTCCACCTGCTTTCCTCAACTGAAGATCCCCCCTCACAGTGTTGACAGGGCCGTTAGCTGTGTCTGACCTATCTCCTGCACTTCTACCCTCTCCTCCCTTCCACATCAATGATAGGGTCCCTCTGGTCCTCACTGTCCACCCCACCAGTCCCTGCCTCCAAACGCTCATTAGCTATTTCCATCACCTTTAATGGGATGCCACCACCAGACACATATTCCCCTCCCCTCCCTTGTCAACATTCTGCAGGGACCATTCCTTCCAGGACACCTGGGTCCACTTCTCCTCCATTCCCAACGTCTTCTCACATCCCCATTGTACCTTCCCATCCAACTGCAGAAGGTGGAACACTTGGCCATTTACTTCCTCCCTCTTCACTCCTAAGTCCCCAGACATGCCTTCCAGGTGAAATGGCACTTTACCTCCTCTTCAGTCAATCTAGTTTCCTGTATTTGCTGCTCACAATGTGGTCTCCTCTACAATGGGAAGACAAAGCACAGATTGGGTGACCATTTTGGCAAATACTTACACTCTGTCCACAAAAATGACTCCAAGCTTCCAGTTGCCTGTCACTTCAACATACCTCCGTTTTCTCACGCCAACATTTCTGTCGCAGGCCTGCAGCAGTGTTCATGAGTCTCAGCACAAGGTGGAAAAACAACAACTATTTTCCACCTGGGGACCCTGCAGCCTCTATGACTCAACATCAAGTTCAATAACTTTAGATCCTGATTCCATCCCTCCATGTTCTCTACCCCACGCCCACACTCAGTCCAGTCATGACATGGGTTGCTTTTAGCACAGTCACACATTCTCAGGTACTTCTAGGCCCATTATCACATTATATTGGTTGCATTCAGCACAGCTCACACCCATTTTTCTCACTCTTAGCTATTATTATCACTTATTCAGCTTTCTCTGCCCTGCCTGCTATCCGCAATCTACTGGTTACCTACCCCTTTCATATCTCTCTCTCTGGATTCTGTCTCCATCTATTCACCCACCTCTCTTCACACACCCACTTTGGTTTCAGCATAATTACCAACAGTTCTGACAAGGAGTCACTGGACTTGAAACATTATCTCTCCTTTCTTCTTACAGATGCTGCCAGATCTGCTGAGTTTCTCCGGGAATTTCTTTTTTTGTTTAAGATCTGGAACTTGTTGACTGAGAGCTTAGCAGAGGGAGATGACTTTCAAAAGGTAATTTAATGTTTGTCTAAAGACAAAATAATTTACAGTACATACAAAGGAAAGGGCAAGGGAATTAGCAGGTCCACATGACAGGCCAAATGATCTTCTTCTGTTCTGTAACTATTCTGTAATTCTATCTACTCTGTAGTTAGAACATAGAACAGTACAGCACAGTACAGGCCCTTCGGCCCACAATGTTGTGCCTAACTTTTACCCTAAACCTAAGGTCTATTTAACCTCCACCCCTACCTTACACTATCATCCATATGCCTAACTAATTGCTGCTTACATGCCCCTAATGAGGCCGACTCCACTACCCTCTCTGGCAATGCATTCCACGCCCCTACCACTCTGTGAGTAAAGAACCTATCTCTGATGTCTCCCCTATATCTACCTTCACTTACTTTAAAACTATGCCCCCTCGTAATAGCTACCTCCACCCTAGGAAAAAGTCTCTGGCTGTCCACTCTATCTATACCTCTGATCATGTTCTATGAAACAATTTGTATATTTAAAGTGCATTAGGAAAAGTATATCTAGAACTTTACTAACCTTCTATCTGAACTCATTCATCTTCCGAGGCTGTGTGCCATCAGGCTCTGATGAATTTACTTTGGATATTCCACTACTTCATTTCAGAAGCATTGCAACTCTGTTCAACGAAGAAAAATATAAACTGTGTAACTACAAATCAGTCAGTCTAAAATTAGTGGTAAATCAGTTTCTATATGTCATAGTACAGATTAAAATGAATATATCCTTAGAAAGACAGGATTTACCAAGGATAACAACATGGACTTGTAAAAGGCAAATCATGCCTCTCAAACTAAATAAGAGTTCTTTGAAGGAATGTGATAATAAGTAAAATGCATTGGATATTAGGTTTCTTTTCAAAAGGCATTTGTAATCTGGCATAAGGGGGTTTACTGATCAATTTACAGCAAATATTAAAGGAAGAATAGGGTTATAGCTAAAGAATATAGAATGGACAGTAGTGGTCACTGAATCTTTTTACAGACTGGAAGGATTTTAAGAGTAAATTCCCTTAGGGTTAGGATCATTGCTTTTTCCAATATTCCAATATAGAAGGATGATCAAATCTCAGGTTTTCAGGGCATAATATTATAATTTGAAAACTACACAGAAGTAGAGAGCATGGGTTTCTGTAAATAGCTTTGGGAGAATATAGATACGTGAGCAGATGGGATAGATGGACATGAGCTGAATGTTTTGTCGTGAGTTGTAAGGTGATACGTTATGACAGGAAAAGTAAGGTGAAGAAATCAGTGTCATAAAATGGAGGTTGCCACCCTCCCTTCTGTGAACTAAAACCGACACCCAAAGAGGAGGAGCTTGCTCTATAATCTGTAAAAGGATTGTGAGAAGTAACCTGCTGTTCAGCAACTTCTAGCGGTTAAATAAAATAAATCCCTGACACTCACTTTAAAATCTACAAGTAACAATTTATTTATCTAACTCTAACAGTGAACAAATAACTGAACTGTTAACAAGCCAAATAAATCCCTCCTAACTACGAACTATTCCTGAATAAAGTAAGATTCTAATGGTATGCTGTTCCAATAAATACAAATCCCACTTATATATATAAGGAATTAGTCTCTGGAAATTACAGCCAAGTTACATATTTTCCAGAATGTTCTGTGCCTTCTCCGTCAATTCTTCTGTCAGGAATATTAACTAGTTATGCCGTTGGTACCATTGTTATTTAGATGGTGCTTTCTCTAAGACATACAGGAGGCTGTGACAGCTGGTGATTCTCTCTTGACAGCTTAGGGCCGTTAGCTCTGGCAGATGGCAGCTCACTTTGGGCTCAGTGTCCAACTCCCCTTCTTTTTATACCCTTGATGACATATCAATATTTCTTACGATAGGATTGGTCTTATGTTGTCAAAACCATCTGACTTAAATTTAATAGGCTTTTGGTATCTAAGTACCGGGTTCAAATTGATTGGCTAAATTCAAATGCCTGTTGTTTTGGTAAAAACTTCTGCTTGGGCTGCTGACTGTACAGTCTTTCGATACAAATATTTCAATTTCAGTGCTCTCTGTTTACTTGCACGCTTTCAAGCTGCTACTCACAGATATCCATTTTCCAGCTCGAAGCACAGGAAAAGCACATAATCTGATAAAGGGACCACACAATGCTTTACCCCCAACACTTTATAAACACCAGATTCTAACTTCCTGTTTCCCAATCCACAAGTACTCTACCCGAACTTTACAACAAAACATAAACAGTAAAGCCTGAAGAAAAGGTAAACAAAGAAGTCAAATTCTTCCCCACGCTCCCGTATTAATCTCTTTGTCCTTGGTCTCCTGGAGTGTTCCAATGAATCTAGATGTAAGTGTGAGGAACAGCATGTTAACTTTCAACTACGCACTTCATAGCATTCCAGATGCAATACTGAATTAAACAATTTCAGATAGTAATTTCCACCACTTTGTTTCTTCTCTCTTCCCTCAGTTTTTTTTCTTTCAATGGCAAGTATACACACTGACCATGACCCATCTTTTGTTTCTTGTCTCATTACTACTGTCATTTATCTTCTACTATCAACCTTGATGACGTTCACTTGAATCAAGCTGGGACCAGGGTCTGAATGAATTGGATGACTAAGATTTAGAGTGTTTTAACCTAAGTAGTGGAAAGGAGGTTTTACATGAGGGGAATGGAACACAGCAATCGTACTGAGAAGCAATATGGGTAATGGTAATTACAGAGTACCAGCAAATATGGTCAGATTAGGAAATATGCAGAATTAAAGAATGAAAGTTTCCTTATTGAAATCAATGACAAAAGCCAAAATATACAATTATGATATGACAGCCATTACGGAAATATATTTTCAAGGTTGGGAATTGAAAATACAAGGTATTTGACATTTTGAAAGGAAATGAATGAAGGAAAGGAGATGGAGTAGCTCTTTATGAAAAGAATGAGGTCAGTACAGGAGCAGGAAAGGTTATAGGCTTGGAAGATCAAGACGCAGGGCTGAATATTATCATTTTATTTTTATTGAATTTCATGGAAGATTTCTCCCCACAAGACCCCTGTGCCCCCAAACAAGCACTGTCATTCTGGAGCTGCCCTGCAAGGTTCATAACATTAGCCCTGGATATTGTACATAAAGTGGAATTGGTGCGCTGCATTGTGGACAGGGATCTGGAAGTCCTGATGAATGGAACGGGTGGTGCAGAAGAAGGACATCCTCTATTCCCAAGACTGCCAATGACGACCATGGCTTCACACCCTGCCAGCCTGGTCCAAAGTTGCCACCTAGGTCAGTGTAGTATCAACCATCTGGAGGAACACCCAGTACTGTAGAAAGAAGGTCAATGACTTTCTCCAGCTGCCAAGATAATTCACACTCTGACTCTCCAGCTACCTTCCACTAAGGGTCATGCTTTACCACTCGCACCCCAACTCCTAAAACTTACCAACCTGCACGGTTTCTGCACTACCTACTCACTCACTCGGAGCACCTCACCAACTTCCCCCGACTTGTACCAGCTCTAACAGCAGTGCCATCCACTTTCACCTCCCTCAATCCCTCCCTTTGTCTCACTGCAGGGGAAAATGACCCACAATTGGGTGGAAGAGCCAGGATGGATGGTGGAGTATCTGACATTCAGCTCCTCACCCTTTGTGAAGAGAGGATCTGGGCCCTCATTGGTGAGGTCTGGGACTGCTACCTGCAAAGACAGAAACATCCATGGCCCCAGCAACCAAGTAAGAAGCTGCTGTGTTCCCTTCTGAGTCTCTTACTGTAACTGTATATTTAACACACTGGAACAACTACCCCTTGTTCATGACACATTCTCTCTGAATCTCTTGCATTAGCAGGGTCACTACAGTCAACAGGATGGCCCCACAGGATAACCCCTTCTCCACATCTGAGGAAGACAGCACAGATGACTCAGAGGAAGCATTCTGCACCCTTCACCTGCTCTTATCCTGACACCTCGATGGGTATTTTAGCTAAATCAGTGTTGGAAACACCTGCAGCTGGCAATCAGAGGACTGGCAGATACATGATGTCGGTGTGAGATTGATGGTATCAATCATGCTGCTATGCTGCAACATGTAACCCTTTGACTGATGGCTATGACAAGCTGCCTGACTGCCTTTGTGTCTGCATGTAACAGAACTACTGTGAGCCTTTCAGCTCTGGTTGAGGGGGAAAAAGCACAAAAAGACAGGGATGCTGTGAGCAAATGAGTAGGCATCAACTCAGTTAGAGCTGAGAACAAGTGAGGATCCCTAAGATGCAACCTGGTATAAACTATGAACTGGGTCCCTGAGGGCAATAAATCCTTGCAGCAGTAAAGTGAGCCTTTTAAATAATGGAGCACTGAGTTCCAAAATGATACTGTTGCTGACAAATCAATATTACACACTGATTTAGGGCATGATGTGCCGCTTCTAAATACATCCAGCAGATTTTAGGTGAATTCCCTCAACAAGGTGCTGTCTACTGCGAATCTTTGGAGAAAAGTGTGTGTGTATGTGCGTGTGATTGTATGCGTGCACGTGATAGTGTTTGTGTGTGTGTGTGCACGCACGTGTATGAGCGTGTGTGTACGCAATGACGCCATTATATCCCACATATAACTACTGTGACTGAGCCTAACTTAGCACACGCTGTTTATCTGCACTGCTTACTTTTGTCACGTCTTCCTCCAATCATGGCATATTGAACCTTTCAAGATTTGGTTACATAGTTAGACCCTCCATTTTTTGATGATTGATAACCTTCCTGTTAATAATTACACAATAACATATTTACGCAATCATCAGATCAGCTGACAAAGACACATAAACACAGAGATACGAACAGATAAACAGATATACACAGACATATGCCTATACACACAGTCAGACACACACGCACACACACAACAGACACAACTGTCCATTCTCATCATACATATGCACAGAAATATACATAACCTACACAAGATTGGCACTTCCAATATTTCCTCTCATGACGATCCACAACAGTCAGATTGCGCTGATGTTTTGCAATTAGGCCTTTTCTAGACATGTGTCCTGGTTGCATGGGAAAAATTCTATCCTTTATAAAACACGGGATATGTTATTTCAAAGAAAGTGATTCTTAAATTTTTATTAACTAATGGAGCAAATCAAATACTGAATAGCATACATACTCATGTGTGTTGAGTTTCTGGAACCAAATCTTTAGCCAAAAAGTACTGGGTTGACACATACGTGAATAATATTTGAGGGGTGAAATCCACCTTATCTCATCATCTCGCTATCTCACTACTTGCAGTGATACATCAGCACAGCTGCACGTCAGAAACTGCTTCCAATAACCGTGCCCCAAAACCAAGACAAAAGGAGCCAAAACGTGTTTTAAGTATTGTTTTTCTTTTTCCAAAATAATACCTTCCTGACACAGACATTGTACACCATGTTTATCCAATGGTTGAATACGGCTGGTTAGACCATAGGGAAACACAGTAATATTACATTTTGCAATCTATCTCAAGCAACATCATCAACGATATATGATTTGAACAGGTCCCAGATAGGAAGACCTTTTCCTGACTTAATCCTCCTAATTGGAAACTCTGAACTTTCCTTGGCCATTACTTTTAAGTCACCTTCATCCATCCATTTCTTTTGGGAATTGCTTTTCTCAGAGGACATCACTATTGGCACAAGCTTTGTTCTGCCAGACATATGCAACTCTATTTTCATGACCAGTTTTCCTCATTATCATTGTTTTCACTCCAGCCATGCTCATTGACTGGCTGGTATGTCAAAGTTTACAGGGTTCTCATTCATGTTCCCAATACAGGTCAATCTGTATCAATTTTTCTGCCAGTATTATTATGAACTGCTGACATGTGATAAATATCAAGTTCTGCCTGGACTGTGTGAAATCTTGGAGAACTCCAATGCCAACATCTCTATGACAGTCAGATATTTTCAAACTGCTGCTGGTGTGGGGAGGGAACGAAGAATCCACTCATCTCCGATTAGTTGCTCATTAAGCTCCCTTCGGAACTTTTGACAGACCAGAGATCAGCACTGCAAATCTTAATAGTGATTTCTGCAAGATTGAGAAACCTGGCACAAGCTAATGCCCCACCAGAAGAATTTGGCACTATTCTGTGCTCTAACATTTGTCTGTACTCATTTGCATGATCTGCATTCTGCAGTGTTCATTCAGTTATCCTTCGACAACTAACAATGATCTATGGAAGTGAATTACTCTGAAATGAAATCACACATTGCACAAACTATAACAATTACAAACACTTATGGTACTCTGCAGCATTCAAGTGAAATCATCTGAAATCAGCTGTCAAGGAATCAAGCTGAAACAAAAGCACTATAAGGCATTCCTCAGTCGAGAAGCGATCAAGAAATTCTTCAAGCTAGAGATCACAAAGTTCCAGGATATTGCTAAGTTCCAGCTGCACTGGCATGAAGTGTGCAATTGCTTACCATAAACAAATCACAACTGTGATCAAGATGGTGTTATTAGTATTAGTTATTGTAATGACTGTAAAGAACTACTGTTATGATGGGACATAGAGCTGAACCTTATATTTTTTGGCTAAGTGGCAGTTTTGATGATTTTCATGGGGGGTTTCTCTCTACAAAGCCTAGCAAGTTTTCTACCTACCTACCACATCCCATGGGGCCTCTCTCGTCCGATTCCAGACCATCCGCCTACCCCTGAACAACTTGCATTTATTTCTTTTTTAATTAAATAGCATAAATGAATTATTAGTTAATGATAAAACCAAAAGTATGGATATTTTCAAAAAAAATAAGAAGTGCACAAGTTCTCAAAGGTTAGTGGTAAATCAATAAAACGGGTAGAATTTAAAAATAGCAAAGAATGACTAAAAGACTTATGAGCAAGAAATTAAATTATAAGACAAAGCCAACCAGGAATATCAGAAAGGATTGGTAAGAATTTCTACAACTACTTAAAAAGGAAAAAAACAACCAATGTGAAAATGAGGAATGAATAATGGAAAATAAGGTAATGCTGAGTAATTTCCAGCATTTTCCATTTTATAATGAGTTACAGTAGTTTTTTCCAGTGTGTTTTTTTTTATATTCAGATAAAGATGAACAAAAGGAGCTACAAACGTGTTATAGTGAGGGTAAAGGAGAAGGTTGGAATCAATAGAAAACAATAAATGAAAATGACAGCATGAAACATAAGCAGAGCTAACAGTTCCCAAGCCTCCATTCCCAAATGCAGGAATGAGAAGAAATGGTTAAATGAGAAGGGGTTAACTTGTGAAAGTAGAGTGTTGATGTAATCATTATTGGCTCCTTTGGCTGTCATGCAGTGCTTTTATTACATTTGCAGTTTTTGCTTCAATGAGATTTCACATTCTGTGAACATATATTTGTCATTTCATAGATTGTTAGCAGGAGTTTTGAATTGCTTTCCAGGTATTAAAAAGAATATTCAAAAAGACTGAAAAGTTCCTGTTAAAATATGGAGACCACAAAATTCGGCCTAATGACGCTCATAAATTTGCTGCTGCGGGTTTTGTTTCAAATCCAGAATAACATCTGCACCATACTTGCACTCTTCTGGTGTGGGCTGCACTGGATGTGATTTTTAGTGCGTCAGCAGCATGTGCAGGGACAGTCACCGCACACAGTGATGTTAATCAACATCTAACACCTTTTGACACCAACTGGGCCATTTTCTATTTTAATATTCTGGCCACTGCCCTCTCTTAACCTCACACAGCTGAACAAGCATTTAGCAGCAGGAAATAAACCTACCCGCGCTATTTAAAAGGATCATCAACTACTTACAGATTAGTTGTTGAATGATTCCTCCTGACTTCTGCTGCATTTGTAGGAGTGTTTGGTGGGTTATATTGCTACTTAGAATTGGTGAGGTCTACAGGGAGTGGTGTTGCACAGAGAACTACACGGTTTCAGCATAACTGGAGAGTGTTCTGCCCCTTGTGTTCCTGCCAGCTCTCTGCCAGAGTACTCAGCTAGCTTCATTTCCCTGCCTCTTCCCTGCAAGTTCTCTCTCTCTGTGGATAATTATCAAATTTTATTTTAAAAGCTAAGCCAAGACTGAACCTGCATTCACCGCAGTTTCATTTCAGATCTGAACCACTTGCTGTGTAAAAAAATTCTCCTTATGTTTCTTTTGCTTCTTCTGCCAATTGCTTTAACTCAGTGGTTGTCTGTTTCTTGATCCAGTGGGAACAGTTTTTGCTCATTTACTCTGTCCAGAACTTTTGTAATTTTGAAAGTGTCCATCAAATTTACTCTCTCCAACAGCCCAAGCTCCTCCAATCTATCCATTCTTGTAACGGTTTCTGTATCGTCTCTAATCTGTTCACATTCTTCCTAAACTGAGATGTCCAGAGTTCAACACAATTTTCCATTTGAAGTTCGACCAGTGACTTAATAAACAGCATCACTTCATGTCTTTACAGCTTTATTAGGCACATTTTCAACCTGCCCTGTCACCTTCAACTGGTGCATATTGTAAAGACTGCATTTTTTTTTTAAACTTTATTCTTGATTGTAGACCAAAATGGCAAAAGGATTCTCTTAAAACCAAGGACTATGGAAGGGATTACTACACTTCTCAAAACAACTTATTCATTCTGAGTTGTGTTTACACTGCTACTTTGCAAGTAATGCAGGAGCAGAAATAAGACACCATCGCACCAGGGTGTGTGCTTGGAGGAAGATTCATCCAGCAACAGATTGTTGATTGGCTTGTGCAACTGTAACCAATTGTGGATGTAATAAGTTACCAGCTTGATGACAACTCTCCAAAAGGCTCCTGAGCAGGTGGACAATTGGGTATTTTCAACAGAGGAGGAAGAGCCTCCAGGAACAGCAGGTTCTGTGTTTCTATCATTGCTGTAGAAGTAACTGAAGCCTGCAAAAGGCCACTTATTTTTCCCTACCAATTTCTGTAAGCTGGTTCCTACAATCAATAACTAAGAGATTTTATAATGAGTGTGCCAATCACACTGTGCCTTTTGCAAAAAAAATTGAAAGAATATGGAGAAAGGGATCAGAGAACAGATGGTTTTGGGAAGCTAAAGGAACATCTTATTAATTTGATGCTACTGAACTGTTTTTGTCTAGTGTTTTCCCCTCCCCTTAAAACACTAATGTTTTTTAATATTTGTCTGTTAGTATGTGTGCAGGTGTCAGAATTTCAACTAGTTGAGTAGTTATAGTTGATAGTTATAGTTTTGTTTGCCTGTAATTAGAACTTAGCTAATTGTAGTAAGCAGTAATTCTTGTTAAGTACATGAACCCAGACAATGTTTTCTGTTAATATGATTTCATCAGTTGGGTAAACTGGGGTCTTTGAGTAGTTTGATTGTCATTACCTTTTGTGACAACCCAGGGAATAGTTGGACTTGAGTATCAGGCACTTTCCGAGGTGGGTTGGATAACATTAACCTCTAGGTCTATTCAGCAGCCAGCCACCTCAGCATTCCTTATGAATTTGGCAGCATCATCATCTTTGGTAAATTCAGTTCAAATATTCATTTGCTACCACAGCCATGCTCTTTGCCTCCGTATATAAACCCATTTTTGGTCCCCAACTGGCTTCACTTTTCCTTTTACCACCTTTCAACAATTTATAAGCTTATGGAAGGATTCCCTCTTATGTTAGTTCCTAGTCTCTCTTTATACTCTCTTTTTGCTTCTCTTATTCTTGGATCTTCCTCTGAACATTCGATTTACACTTGTATCATTAGC